GTAATTCAAAACCCTCAAAGGAGCCGGCTCTTTGCAAAAGTGGAGGCGGCTCAATTTCAAGTGGAGGCGGCTCCATTAAAAAAGTGGAGCAGGCTCTTTTTCTAAAATGGAGACGGCTCAATAGAAAAATAGAGCCTTCTCTAGTTTTGTAGAGCCTTCTCTTCTTTCCTGAGCCTTCTCTAAAAAAGCGGAGCAGGCTCTTTTTCTAAAATGGAGACGGCTCAATAGAAAAATGGAGCCTTCTCTAGTTTTGTAGAGCCTTCTCTAATTTTGTAGAGCCTTCTCTAGTTTGTCATTGAGCCTTCTCTATTCTTTGAGCCTTCTCTAGTTTTTCATTGAGCCTTCTCTATTCTTTGAGCCTTCTCTAATTTTTCATTGAGCCTGCTCCATTGGCCTTGAGAGAGCTGGCTCTATTTCTTATAGAGGCTACTCTTACTTCATAAAGGCTGCTGCTAAATTGGATTGGATAGAAAAAAAGTGCATGACTTCAAATGGACATAACTCAGTCCTTAAAACTCCAAATAAGGTGAAATTTGAATCTAAATTTATTGTCTTGAAGTCAGCTATCTAAATCCACCGGCCTTGCTCAAAAATTCCAACCATAGAAAAAGTTATAGCAATTTAAGTGCAACCTGGTCAGAATTTTCGCAGAGCAAAATCAGGTTTTTTTGTGAAGCTCATATCTTAGTCATTTTTAATCCAATTTAGGTGAAATTTGAGTCTAAACTCAAGGGCTTGAAGTCAGATTTCCAATGCCACCGGTCTTGTGTAAAAATTCCAACTACACAAATAGTTATAGTAGTTTTAATGCAAGCTGGTCTGAAATTTTTCTGGGCTGAAAATTGTTTCTTTGAGATATCCATCTTTCTAGCACCTAGGACTTTGATGAATGATTCAATTTTGTTCAAGGCCTGTTTCTAAGAGTCTAGGGACATATGAAGATGATAAATTTCAAGTGCATTGTGTCCTAGAGTCATTTACCAAATTTTGGCAACAAAGGCTTTAAAGATGAAAAATTAATTCAATGCCTTTTCCTTTTCTTTTTAGAGACCAAAATAAATGTTATGATTAATGTGCATGGTTTTAGCATTTCTATCTTAAGTTGTGAGTTCTTTCAAAGCTTATGCAAGCTTGAACTAACTCATTCTTAGTAAAGACTTCATATGTTAAATATATATGTATTGAAGTTCATAGTCTAATGCTAATGATGTAGGAGCATATAAATGATGTATGATATGCATGGTCCAATAGTGATGAGCTTCAAATGAATTCATAAAGACTTTGACATTAAATCTTAAGCTCTCACTATCCTATCTACCATTTTCTTCATTCTTTGACCATGATCGTTTAGGCTTGATAAAGACTTTCTTTCTTTCTTTGAAATACTTTGTGTGATCTTTGAAGTTCGAGTTCTTCTTTAATTTCTTGCACTTTGATGCTTCCTTGAATCCATTGTTTGAGTGTTTGGAATGCTTGAAATGGAACTTCTAGCTCATCATTGAGGATTGAATGATTGATCAACTATACTTCACTCAATGAAAATATTAGTACATAAACATCATTAATGATTTGTAATCATCAAAATATAAGATTGACCTTTAGATAAAATCCTTAGGCCAACAAAAGGTTATTCAAATGATTCCAAATTAACATATATCAAGCACCAACTCATGGTCATACCATATCTCAAGTCCAAAATGGGATACAAGTAAAATACAATTTATTAGAATTTAAATCAAATTAAATCCATTTAATCTCTAACGTTGAAAACTCATCTAAATCATCCCAAATTAATATATATCAAAGATCAACTCATGGCCATGCCATTTACCAAGTCTAAAATGAGTTATATGCAAGATATGATAAATCACTAATTTATCAAATTAACAAAAGACATGCATACAACTTCTATAAGCATCAATAGCATGCAAGATAACAAAAAATACAATCCTAAAACATCCCCTACCTCATTAGAGAAGTGTCTCTCTAGAATCCAAGGCAAAATCAACACAAAATGAAAAACCCTTCTAGGGTTATGAAGAGGAAGATGAGGGGAACAAAATGTATTCCCAAATTCAAGCTTGGAAATCAATGGAAGGCTCTCAAAAATCAAGGTCAAAGCTTAAGGCTTTAGGCTCCATCCATGGAGGCTAGGGTTTTCTTTACAAGAGAGGGAGAAAATGAAAAATGATAAAGATGAAATGTGAGTGGAGGGAATAGAGATCCTCCACTCACTATGTGTTCTTACACTACCTCTCTCACGCACACTAATGCAAGATCAAATTGTGAGCATACACTTGTCACTCATCCAAGTATCCATTGTAGGCTTAATCCTAAGCCTACACTTGTCAACCATCCAAGCCAACAAGTGCACCAATCCTAGGCTAACAAGTGGGTGAATCTTCACCCTTAATGTGTCATCATCCAAGGCCTCAAAGTGTTTCCACACACATGTCAACAAGTGGACCAATGTGAGTGTGACACTTGTCACACTTTCCAAAAATTGCAAAAAAGTCCTTTTTGAAAATATCTTCCAAATTAAATTACAAAATGGTCCCTAAGACGAAAAATAATTACTTTATAGCAATTACACAAAACCCCTAAAGTTAGAAAAATTACAAAAAAGTTATGCGTTTATACCCTTTACAAGAAAAGTAAGCACTTAGCATGCTTTTCTACAAAAGTGAAAATACACATAGCATGGGATTTAAATATCATGGATGCATGCAAAACCGGAATCGAATCCGAACACAAAAAGTGAAGTTATGCCAACAAGGTGACAACCGAGAAAAAGACGAAAGTGAATAGTGTCACAAAAGTGAAAATATGAAAATGACTCGGTCCTCAAAGGAAGTCGTCAATCCAAGGAAAAGAGTCTCGGAAACCATCCCCGAGCACTCAAGATGACACTAAGTGATGAGAAACTGAACTCAGAAAGGAAAAGATCAACGGAAAAAAAATATCCGTGAAAATTCGAGAAAAGAAAATGAATGAAAATGACCGGGTCATTACATGATGAGATTATGAATATTGTGCAGACGATAAACCAATTTGGGATTACTCCTATGACGCAAAGCAAACGCTTGGCCTCAACTACGTACTTCACAAATTATGATTTGGAAGAACGAAAAGAATAATAATAGCAACTACTTACCAAGAACTCAAAGGCAGAATCTAGTTCAAAAATTACAAACAACAAATAAAAGAAAAAGTTGAATGAAAAGGAGAAGGTACGTAGTATACATGCATATATATGATTTTAGTTTATAAAAGCAGTCCTTTTTGTGTGAAAATAAAATTCTCCAAAAGAATCCTACTAAAACTTGAAACAAATTTTTTTTTTTCTTTAAAAAAAGAGACACTGTTCACCTTCGGAACTGTACCCGGGGTGGAACTATTTGTAAACTCTAATTAATTTGTGTTAGACATTAATCACAAATAATCATAAATCCCTAGATCTTAGAACTTCAATTAATTTCACATCCTTATAACGCATAAATATATATAGTTAGATATACATACCTCGATTCATGATATCAAACCTTGTTGAGATTAAGTCCAACGTCCATATCCTTTAACCATGAACGAAGCTATAACTCTGATCAATAGGCAAAGGTGGAAACTAGTTTCTCTCTCTTGGCATTTTGTACACATAAAACTTTTACGTGTTGTATCATTCATTGAATATAATTGATGGAGTATATGCACTTTTATAAAGGCAGAGAGAGGACCAGTTTTCCTTATTAGTAACCTAATTCCACTTTCCATCAAAGTAAGGAACAAGAAAGGAAAATACTTCTCCAATAAGTAATTACCGAAAAAGGTAATTATAAGTTGACAAAAAATAAATAATATTAATTGATATTTATTTACTTAGTCACCAAGTAATATGTCACATGTCTAAATTATGTAGGCCACAATCAAATAAATAATTTTACACTATTCACCTAGGGAACAGTGCTCGGGGTATATATATATATATATATATATATATATATATAGTTAATATTTCCTTTGTCCGAAACGGACTCAGAAATCTGGGGCAACTGATGGGAAAATAACCCTATGTTAACCAATTGTCAGTTCTCTTCAACTTCCTGAGGATAATGATTGTCTACGATAAAGATGTTATTATTCAGTTGAAATCTGTTAATGATGATAAACCAAATCTCTTCAATCGACATATACTCAATCTACTGGATTAAAAGAGAACTATAAATACGGAAGAGGTCCATTATATGATGTATGTGAAAAACTTCAGTATTTTTTGTGACAAACATACTCTCCTCCTCTTAACCATTTGTTGATTTGATCGTTGGAGGGTCTTTGATCGACATCACACTGGTGCCACTTGAAGTGACTTAGCCGTCATTGTTTTGCATGAAATGGTGTCATTTTCGATCCGTGCATATTTTCGCCCTAACAATTTGACATGTTCTCAGATATGAACAATTTAAAAATGGATATAAAAATTATATTATTATTCTTAACAATCTATTATTTATTTAGTTTAATTTTTTTTTGCCTAAAAATAGATTTAAACAATGTATAAAATTGATCATATAAAGGGAATTGATTAAACAAAAATTTATTTATTTATTTATTTTAATATTCAAAATCATAAGGGTATTTTGGTCATTATAATAATTTAATTTTAATTTTAATTTTAATTTTCATGCCATCCAAATTAAAAAATAATATTTTTTCACATTTTTTTGAAAAAATTTCACACTAATAAAAAATATTGAAAATTTGATTTTTCTTTTTTGGACAAATTAGGGAAGGAAAGATTCGAATACGGGCACACCCGCTGGGTTCATATTAAAAACACAAATTAAGAAATTAAGAGATAGAAGACTTGAATACTGGTACACCCATTCAAATAACTAAACGCTCTACCAACTTTAAAATTTTCGTTTAATTGGCTTTACTTTCTTTCATAATCATTTTTCACTATAAATTTTGGGTCTAGGAAGACACAAACCCAAAAAGAATATATAAAGTCAAGCGTAGTGCTGTATAATTTATGAAAATTGTATTTATTAAAGTTTTTGTGAAAGAAAAGGTACGTGAAAAAGAGAGGCACTCGGATTGAATTGATGATCCTCCCCGTTAGATAGTGGGTCATGTTCCTGCAGATTTAGTTCAACAGAATAATCAATTATTCTTTGCTAGAGAATCGAACAAAAATCAGAATTGGGAAAGAGATCATAAAGTGATATTTAGGGTTAAACCATGTATGGACCAAGAAGATAAAGATTGAGTTAATATTCACACATTCCTAAGTTGGAATTACAAATGAGATTCAGACGAGCCTGGATTGATGACAGCGATGAGCAATTAATTCATACTGAATGCTTAACTGTGCACTTTAAGTGCCATTAACAACCCACAAGCCAAATTCCACTATTCACTTCTCTCTCTCTCTCTCTCACACACACACACACACACACCCACACGCTCCCTCCCCCTCCCTCTCTCTCTCTCTCTCTGTGTGTGTTTTGCCATGGCCAAATCACCAGAAGAAGAACACCCACAAAAGTCCTTTGGTTGGGCTGCAAGAGAGAGCTCTGGGATCCTTTCCCCCTTCAATTTCTCTCGCAGGTATATTTCTATCTGTATATCTTTTTCCATAACTATATCTATAAATTTATATATATATATATAATAGGTATGTATTGTATCAATCTATATATCTCAGCAGACACATTTATATTCTTCTAAAATTTGGTTCCCTAATTAGAAACATGTGATTGTAGTCTAGTTGACTCTGCCTTCCAAAGTAGTACTATGTTGAAATGAAAAGGGTGAAAAGATATGGTTGATTAGAACCATTTATGAAAATTAAATAGCCAAAAGTGTAAATGTGTATGTTATTGACCATTAATATAATGCAGAATGTGATGGATGAATTAGTTGCTTATAATTACTTTATTTTGTTATTTAAGAGGCTATTAGGGTGTTATCTTGAGTTGGATGGCCCATTCATTTTCACATAACAGTGTATTGTTAAAAATCAAAATAAAAAATAAAAAAAAAATCATCTTGAGTAAATTCATGTGAGAAAATTATGGTTATATTAAAATCATGAATTTTGTCATTTTAAAATGAATATATAGGAACATTTGCTTAATAGCTCCATAAATGAACTTGTTAAAATTGTCAATGATGAAGTAGTGGAAGAGAGAAAAGCTAGAAGGATGAATCTTATCGGTTCAATCCAAATCCTTAGAATTTAGAAGAAAAGGCCCTTGAGTCCATTGCATATGAGAATACTCCAAATTATATATGTAAGCAAAATTGATGAACAATACCCTGTATATTATAGCCCTATTTGTACTAGCTTACTACAAATTTTTTCTTCTCAAGTTAAATTCAGAAATTAAGGATTTTCATAATGTCTCAAACTAAATAAATTAGATTTTTTTTTTTTCCAGAAATTTGACACCAAATAGTTACAATGGCGACCTCAAACAAAGATCAGAAACACTATTCAAAATAAAAAGGCTGATATCAACTGCTTAAAGACCACAAAATTGCCAGCAATGGCCTTTTTTCCAAGTCCAAAATGTAGCCATCTTGTGGATAAACTGGCCATATCAATATCTTCCCACATCATACGTGATGGCCGTTTGAAGTTCTGTTATGAGATTTATAATTTAGGAGTGAATGCTTAAGCTTTCATCAATCTGTTTGCTCCAGTTAGTCTGCTAACACTTCTGCATAAACACAGATATTTAATTTCAAGAGACATCCAAACAAGGCCCTAATGTATGACGAGTTCTTTAAGATATGCATTATGATTAAAGAATAAATAGAATATAATAGAATCGGAATGTTGTTATCTCATTATCTGTTATGCTAACTAATTATGTCATCTAAAACTTGTGTTTCTGCAATTTCTTTTTCTTAATTAAACTATATTTGTGCGGTTTATAAGCCAGATTCAAGAGGGATCATTTTTCTTGTTGTGCCTCATAATGGAAGTCACCACCTCTCCCATTGGATGGAAGTGGTGGCAGTTTTGTGTGGGAAAAGAACATTGATTGTGACTCTATAAAATTTCAATGCATTAGTTGCCAGTTGGATATAGATTCATATGTGAAAGCATTGTTCAAGTTATTCTAATTATCATGCAGAACACTAACTACCATCTCTCACTTCTCTCACCAATTTAATTTTATTTATACACACACATATATAAACAATCATGTTGAAATTTTATATACATCTGTATCCACATTATTTTAATATATCGTTTGCATCATTGGCAGAGAAAATGGCGACGACGATGTAACAGTCAAAGTTCTTTACTGTGGGGTCTGCCACTCTGACTTGCATTCTATAAAAAATGACTGGGGGTTCACAATGTACCCAATTGTTCCCGGGTAATGATGCTTGTCTTGTGTCGGTATATGAATTCTCAACCTGTGTTTTAAAATTTATCTGTGATTTTTTAGACGATGTTTTAGATGTTTACAATGTCATGATCCAACTTCATCCATTCCCGTATGAGTCATATTGAAGCCATCTAGTGCACCTAACGTAGTTCAGAAGCTGTCTATCTCAAGCATAAAGCAGTTCTCTGACCATGATTATTGTAAATTATAACTCTACTCCAAAGGTCTAAGTCCATCTTGATTTTACAATAGTACTTTTATCTTTCACTATATACTGCTCACTGATTCATGATGACTGTATTAGTGTTTTAAAAATAAACCCTCTTTATTCCTTGAGAAAAATTGCAGTCAACGGAGAAGTGCACAACCATGCAGATGGTATACTCATTTAAATGATTAATTAATCGTCTGTTTCCAATTTTGTTCAGAATTTATAATGGTGATACCAGCTTTCAATCTAAACTCTCCCAAATTTATGCGGATCAGATTTAACATCACCTCTTTCCAGATCCTAAAAATATTGTTTTGAACCAGGGGTATGTTCCTAATTTATAGTGATATACCCAAAATTTTCATTGTGTCCTGTGGGTGTCCGGTAGCTCATTACAAATTATTCTACCCAAAATTTATGCACTTTTTATCCTTAATGTACCAAAGATGTAATGTGTTCGTTTGGCCTCAATTCTGTCTGTTGAATTTACAAATAAAATTATAAAAATGGCTAGTTACCAATATACCAAGTTTGGAAGCCATTTCTGAATGGAATAAAAATGGATCAAGCTTTTTGTGATTTAAAAACTCGCAGGTTTTTTAGCAGCAATCAGTAACTGGTACTACTACATGTCATTTGGTGCTATGTGTTGAAGAACATGTTTTAATGTTATACCATTGTGGTGTTGTGTAGGCATGAAATTGTAGGTGTTGTGACCAAAGCCGGGGAAAAAGTAGAGAAATTCAAAGTTGGTGACAGAGTTGGGGTTGGGGTCATAGTGGGCTCCTGCAGGACATGTGAGAGCTGCCAAAAAGACATGGAGAATCATTGTCGGAAAAGAATATTTACTTATGGATCCATTTATCATGATGGAACAAAAACCTATGGTGGTTATTCTGATATGGTGATTGTTGACCAACGCTATGTGTTTCGCTTTCCTGATAACCTACCCTCCGATGCGGGTGCGCCCCTACTATGCGCTGGGATAACGATATACAGTCCAATGAAATACTATCGAATGACTGAGCCAGGCAAGCATCTGGGTGTGGTGGGGCTGGGTGGTCTTGGTCATGTTGCTGTGAAGTTTGGGAAGGCCTTTGGGTTGAGAGTTACAGTAATTAGTACCTCCCGGGAGAAGGAGGCTGAAGCCATTGAAAAACTTGGTGCTTTTTCTTTCCTTGTTAGCACTGATCCTAAAGAAATGAAGGTATGTGCACAATTAGCTTAACATTATTTAAGGCTGGTGAGATTGTTGTTAAAAAGTGACCGGCGTTGAATTGAATTAACAGTTCTGATGCATAAATTACGGATAGCTAGGTTCGGTAAAGCCGATTTCAATAAATTAGTTGGTATTAGGGCAATTTGGCATGGATCCACTATGCATTGAACATTGGCCAATGACCTAGCTTTTGATTGTGTCCATTAATTGAAGACAAATTAACAATTTGGATTCAATAATTGAGCTCAAGTTTTGCCATCACATAGGCATCCTGTAGAGTTGTTAGCATTAGGCATGAATCAATAACTCTTAGTGTGGATCTCTTAGGCTCCGTTTGTTTGGATGTAAAATATTTTTTAGAAAATATTTTTTTATTTTTTGTTGTTTGGTTGTCGTAAAATATTTATGAAGAAAAAAAAATAATAATAAAACCTAACAAAAATAACTTATCTATCAATTTTTGACAAGTTATTTTACACACTCCACCCAATGGGCTTGACCTCAACCTCGACCTAGACCATTGCCAAACACCAAAAAATAAAAATAAAAAAATTATTTTACCTGAAAAAGGAAAATATTTTCTTAGGAAGATATTTTATGTTGAAACAAACCAAACCTTAGAGTGGTTTGCTGATTGCATTGCTTTGTTGTGATTAATGGATCACGGTTAATTAGGGATTTTAATTTATTTGACTTTATTTTATTACTTTATTGTAACCCTAGTTGGTAAATATAAATACAAGTGTCTGCACTCAAGTAGAGGGAAACAATTATAGAATTTATTTTTCTCTTTTTGGTATTAGAGCCTTGCACGCTCCTCTCTTCAAACCACTCGCGGGCACCACCCACCTCTCTCAACACCTTCGCCCACTGCCCTGTAACCCAACCCCACCTCCGCCCTCTTTCCTAGCCTTCAGTGATTCCCCCCTTGGGAGTCCAGCCTACCTGCGGCTCCCTTGGGAGTGTTCTCTCTTGGGTTCAAACCTCTATTTCAGGGTATTTTTAAGCGAATAGATGTAATGTGTTAAGAGTGTTCTACCCTTTAATGATTTTGGGCTACCGGTGCGTTCGGTAGCATCTCCATGACCTTTTGTTGTGTCTCCGACAACTAGGCTGTTCGTGTTTGCGGTGATTTTCCTATCCAAGAAATTTGTGAAGTTCTTTGAGTTCTTTTTTGATGGGTGACTAGTGAAAAAGGTTACGAGGTAGTTGTTGCTCCCCATTCTGATATGTCTGTTTCTAAACATACCCCGGCTCAATGGGTTACAATGTGTCGTTGAATGGGTGTAATTTTGCATCATGGTCTTGCTCCTTTCGTCTCTGTCTTGGAGCGAAAGGCAAGATGAGTTGAATATTGGGAAAGGAAAAGCAACCTGATGTTACTGACCCTAATTTGCAGCATGGGATATGGACGACTGCACGATTCTAGGATGGCTATTTAATTCTATAGAAGAGCGACTTTACAGTATGTTTATGTGCCATGACACAGTACACAGTCTTTGGACTGTGTTGACCTAGATGTATGCGCATGCGCACAATGATTCTTAGATCCTTGAGTTGTACAGGGAAACATCTTGGGCGGACCAGGAACTTTTGGGATTATCCGCGGCAGATTATTTTTGGTATTTACAATCTCGTTGGAAGGAGTTGGCTCAGTATGAACCCTTGAGTGATTTTCCACCAAACGCTGCCTCTATTGTTGTTAAGTGTTTAGATCATCAACATACCTACCATTTCTTGATGGGACTCAAACTTGAATTCGAATCTCTTCGAACTCAAATTTGAATTCATCACCCATGCCATCACCCATGCCATCTTTATATGATGCTTTTGCGACTATTGATAGTGATGAGCACCACCACTTACTTCAGCTTACTCTTTCTGCCATCTATGATCCATCTACTGTAGGGGATCAAATGGCATTTGCGGCTAATTCTAGGTCAAATTATTCTGGGTTGCATTTACTGGTGGTAAAGTTGTTGCCATCATTGTGGAGAAATTGGATAGATGAAAGTCCGTTGCTTCAAGTTGCATCCTGAGTTGAAGCAGAAATTTGTCAGAAATTGGAGTGGTCCTTCACGTACCTACTCCCGCACTGCTACTATTGCTAATGTTAGCCTTGGGCAGTTACTAACTTTCCAGATGTCACTCAGCTATAATCTCAGATTGGCTAACTTCAAGATTAGCTTAGAACTCTTATTCAGCGTTCTGCAGGTACTGGTGTGACTGCTCTTACCACCTCTACAACTACACTTGCCACAGGTACTCCCACTACTTTTCACGTTAGGAAAGGGAATCTTATATGTGTTCTTGACTCTGGCGCAAATGATCATATAACTGGTGAGTTATCAGTGTTTTCTGATAATGTTACCCTTATTCACCAATCTGTTTTCCTTGTTGATAGATCCAAGTCTTATATACATCATAAGGGTAGTGTGTGCTTGTCTCCTGATATTAATTTATTATTCGTTTTTCATGTTCCCGGTTTTACTTTTAACCTCTTATCTGTAACTCTTTTTGCAAAATCTCTTAATTGTGAAGTAATTTTCTTTCAAGATCATCATTGTGTTACAGGACTTGCATTCGAAGAAGATTTTTGGCAAGGGATATGAGCGCGATAGCCTATACTACTTTGGCGATTCACCACCTTCTTCTCTGTAGACACCCTTTTTGCCCTCCCCTTTCAATACACCGACTATCCAGACTCCAAGAGGGAATGGCGTTTCCATCTCTCGAGACCATTTCCCAATAGGTCCTATTTATGATAGAAAACAGAGAGGCAGACAGCTCGATTGGATATCGGACTTCACCATCACACTTCACCATCACACTTAAGACATAACATAACCACACAAAACACTTCGATCAACCACATCACACATTTCCCGGCACCTAATCACCAATTCCCCAAAAAGGGCAAAATTGGGCTTTTACACTGCAACGGTGCAACCCCATGATCTGATTGTTAGAATGACGAACGGACTTCACCATCGAGTCCAGAACACCCAAAAACCCTAGGGTGTACCTCTCCTCGAGGTCCCTACCCTTCTCCATCACTCATTTTGACCAAAACCCTCGGTAGGGCCCGAGTGGCCAACCCAAAGTTTGACTTTTCACACCGATGGTCAAACTCACCCACAAACTTGACCATTGTGCTTAGAAGGTCCAAAAACCTTAAAAAGTACTGTAATATTGCCTACCTTCAAGCCCGGGTCCACCTTTGACCAAGTCTGTACGACAGAGACCAAATGGTCAACTCCAAGGTTTGACTTTTTCCACGAAAAGTCAAATGGAAAAACGGACATCGCCATTGGATTCAAAGGGTCCAAAAACCCTTGAGACCATTATAATATTGGCTATGTTTCGGTTTCGGGGCCACTTTGACCTAATTTCCACTCCTAGGGGCAAAATAGGCAAATCAGCACTGTAAAAGAGATTCCAGACTTCACTAAAGGACAAAATGTGCCACATCAGTATGAGGTCACTGTGAGGTAAAAAATCCTTGAAAATGATCTTAAATTCGAAAGTGGCATCAAAATGTAATTTCCGAAAAAGGAGGGCAAAATAGGGAAATTGTAGGAGAGAGAAAAGCAAAAAGCAAAGGAAGGTACAGCACTTGGGCATTTGAATTCAAGCGCCAATGTGTTGTCCTTCCTGCTTTTAATCTCCTCCCTCCACTTGTCCCTCCTTTTCCTAAAATAGCTCTCCACCTTGGGATCTTCATGTACTCTTCCGGAAATTACACTTTGACCCAAAGAAATTGCATTTTAGCCCTCTTCGATTTGCCTTTTAGTCCCTTGGAAATTAGAGGTTAGTCCCTCTTTGGTCTATGAATAAACCCACATTTTTTCATTTTAAGGGGTTCACAACTTTAGAAAAGTTTCTCCATTGGGGAAAACTCTCTCTGTTTCTCTCTAGAAATCCTCTCTCTAGATATATATACACATCCATATACACACACAAACCCAAGAACACACACCAAATCTATATGTTGAAAAAGAGATATTCGGTTTTAATAAGACCAGATTTTAGGGGATATGATAGGCGTGTAAATATAGATAGTCAATGACTAAGAGTAGGAAATTCTATTAGTTTATAGCCTGCGGTTACAGCCTGTAGTCACAGCTTGTAGTTTCCTGTTACAGCCTATAGTCACAGCCTGTAGTTTCCTTTTTTTAGCTCCTTGTATTTCCTATTTAACTAAAGCATTGTAAACCATTCTTTGTACGGCAATATACAGATTCTTTTCAATCTTGAAATCGCCTATTTGGTATCAGAGCATCTTATCGATTCTTCTGGAAAAAAAAACCCCTAGCCATCTCTCTCTCCTTTTTTTTTTTTTTTTTTTTTTCAAACAAACAACCCTAATCACCATGTCTGATGACGTACCTGAGTCCAAGACCAAGACCTCTGAGTCCCAAGTCCAAAACTCTTAGACACACTCGGTCTAGATTACCACAATTTGGCTGAACGGTGAAAACTTCCTTCACTGGTCCAGTCTGTGTGGATGTACATCCGAGGTAGAGGCAAAATCGGCTACCTGATGGGAGAAAAGAAGGAACCGAAACTTGAAGATCCATCCTACTCGACCTGGGATGCAGAGAATTCGATGGTGATGACCTGGTTGGTGAATTCTATGGAGGAGGACATCAGTTCTAATTATATGTGTTACTACACAGCAAAAGAACTCTGGGACAATGTCAACCAGATGTATTCAGACTTGGGAAATCAGTCTCAAGTTTATGAACTAACGCTGAAACTCGGAGAGATCCGTTAAGGAGATAACAGTGTTACAAAATATTTCAACTCTCTAAGATGTTTGTGGCAGGACCTTGATTTGTTCAGCGATTATGAGTGGAAATCGCCTGAAGATTGCAACCATTACAAAAAGAAGGTGGAAGACAACCGCACCTTCAAGTTTCTCATTGGAGTTAATGTCGAGTTTGATGAAGTGAGAGGCAGAATAATTGGACGACAGCCCCTGCCTTTAATCGGTGAAGTCTTCTCCGAGGTTCAAAGAGATGGAAGTCGCAGGCTGGTCATGCTTGGAAAAAAGTTATCAAATGGTGCTGTTGAGACCTCTGCCTTGGTCGCATCTGAAGCGAATATTAGCAGGAAACAAGATGACAAGCCACATCTTTGGTGTGACCACTGCAACAAGCCTCGCCATACCCGTGAAACCTGCTGGAAAATTCATGGTAAACCAGCGAATTGGAAGAGTAAGCAGGAAGGCAGATTCAACCGAGCCCCATTAGCTTATGAAGCCGAGGCACTTCCCTTCAGCAAAGAACAGATGGATCATCTTCTAAAATTGGTGAAATTCAATTCCTCATCTGGTACTCCTAATGCTTCTCTTGCTCAAACAGGTAACAACCCGAAGGCCTTATATGTTGTTCAAATTCCAGTGTTACCCCATGGATCATTGATTCAGGGGCTTTTGACCATATGACAAGTTTTTCTCATTTATTTCAAACTTATTCACCCTGTTCTAGCTTTGAAAAAATCAGAATAGCCGATGGTTCTTATTCTCCTATTGCAGGCAAAGTTTTGGTAAAACTTTCAAAAATTATTGATCTTAAAGTCTATCCTTCATGTCCATAAGCTTGCTTGTAACCTTTTATCAGTTAGTAAATTGTCCAAAGACTCTAATTGTCGTGTTCTCTTTTTTGATCCTATTGTGAATTTCAGGACCAGAGCTTGGGGAAGACGATTGGCAGTGCTAGAGATGATAGATGGTCTCTACTATTTTGAAGATGATATTTCAAGTAATAAAAAGGCTCAAGGTCTGAGTAGTTTTCGTTCTATCCATGTTAGAGAACAAATAATGCTATAGCATTTTAGACTAGGGCATCCTAGTTTCCCTTATCTTAAATTTTTTTTTTCCTACTTTGTTTAAAGGATTGGATTGTTCATCTTTTTATTGTGAGAATTGTTTTTTATCAAAGAGTCATCGTACTACGTATTCTCCCAAACCTTACCAAACATCAAAACCATTTTATTCAATCCATGGCGATGTTTGGGGCCCTTCTAGGATCACAACTCTTTCTCGAAAAAAATGGTTTGTGACTTTTATTGATGATCATGCACGTTTGTGTTGGGTGTATTTAATGAATGAAAAATCTGAGGTTGAAAAATTATTCAAGGATTTTTATATGATGATTGAAAATCAATTTCAAACAAAAATTGGCATTCTTCATACTGATAACGGCACCGATTACTTTAATGAAGTTTTAGGAAGTTTTTTAACAGAAAAAAGAATTTTTCACCAATTCACTTGTGTTGACACGCCCCAACAAAACGGAATTGCTGAAAGAAAGAATAAACATTTACTTGATGTTTCTCGTGCCATCATGTTTTCAATGAATGTTCCCAAGTATTTGTGGGGTGAAGCCGTTTTAATAGCAACATATTTGATTAACAGGATGCCTACTCGTGTTCTTAACTATTTTACACCCCTTGAAAACCTTAAAAAATCTTTTCCTGAAACTCAGATTTATTCCAACCTGCCTTTGAAAGTATTTGGGTGCACTGTCTTTGTCCATTTACCTAGTAGACTTCGGTCTAAATTGGATTCTCGGGCTGAAAAATGTGTATTTGTTGGGTATGTCCCGAATAAAAAGGGGTACAAATGCTTCAATCCGAAAACAAAAAAAATGTTTATCAGTATGGATGTCTTTTTTCTAGAAAATCATCCTTAATTTCAGAAAACTTTTCTTCAGGGGGAGAAAGAGAGAGAAGAAAATTTTTAGGAGATTTTTACTAATATTCCCTTACCTAAAACTATTGTCTCACACTCTATTACTCCGAACATTGATCGTTTTAAACAAGGAAATGATGTTCTATAATCAGGAAACCCGGGGCCTCCTAGTCCTAATCTGCCGAGCCTTACTGTATCTCTAACAGGGGGAGAAATCCTACCAATGGTTCCAAAAAAACCGAATCCTGAGCTTCTGGTTTATAACAGGAAAAAGACTCATCAAAAGAGTAGAGAGCCTACTATTGTACCTGAGCAAGGCCAATCAGAGGTCCCGAGCAATGACTCCTTGAACACTCAAGGTACTCTAAATCCTAACTTGTCTTCAGTTGTCCCTACTATTTCTAATCGTACAGAGTCACCTAGCCAAGTTTCTGTAGACCTTGATATCCCTATAGCTGTTAGAAAAGGAATCCGAACCTATACCCAGCATCCCATTGCAAATACTTGTCTTATGATAAACTTTCCAATAAACATAGGGTCTTTACTTCAAATATTTCTCACTTGTTTGTTCCAAGAAACATTTAGGAAGCACTAGATGATCCGAATTGGAAATCTGCAGTGTTAGAGGAGATGAATGCTCTTAAAAGGGGTGGAACGTGGGAGATAGTTGACTTGCCCAAAGGAAAGAAAACTGTTGGGTGTAAATGAGTTTTCACTATTAAGTGTAAAGCTGATGGTAGTGTGGAAAGGTACAAGGCAAGACTTGTGGCGAAAGGTTTTACGCAAACGTACGGCATTGATTACCAAGAGACGTTTGCTCCTGTAGCAAAAATAAATTCTATCCGAGTCTTATTGTAGTTGGCAGTTAATTCTAACTGGCCATTACATCAGTTGGACATAAAAAATGCCTTTTTAAATGGAGACTTGGAAGAAGAAGTGTTTATGAGCTTGCCACTTGGGTTCGAAGGAAAACACGGTCAGAGCAAAGTCTGTAAACTCAAAAAATCTCTGTACGGTTTGAAATAGTCTCCAAGAGCGTGGTTTGAACGCTTTGAAAACGCTGTGAAGAGTCATGGGTATCATCAGAGTCGGGCAGACCATACCATATTCTACAAACACAGTGAGGAAGGGAAAATTGCCGTTTTAATTGTGTATGTGGATGATATAATTTTGACAGGTGATGACATTGAAGAGTTGACTAGACTGAAGATGAACTTGCTAAAGATTTTGAAGTTAAAGATCTGGGAGCATTAAAATACTTCCTTAGAATGGAATTTGCAAGGTCAAGAGAAGGAATTTTCGTGAATAAATGAAAATATGTACTTGATTTGCTTAATGAGACAGGACTACTCGAGTGTAAAGCTGCTGACACTCCAATTGAAGTCAACCTGAAGTTAGAAGCTGCCGAACCCGAGAATATGGTTGATCGTGAAAGATATCAGAGATTGGTGGGAAGACTAATTTACTTATCTCACACACACCCAAATATAGCATTTGCAGTCAGTATAGTGAGTCAGTTCATGCACTGGAACACTTTGAAGCAGTGTACAAGATTCTGAGGTACTTAAAGGGCTCACTAGGTAAAGGACTTATGTTCAAGAAACAAGGTCATTTGCAAGTGGAGGTGTACATAGATGCTGATTGGGCAGGCAGTATAGTTGATAGACAATCTACCTCAGGATATTGCACCTTCGTTGGAGGAAACTTGGTCACGTGGCGAAGCAAGAAACAAAATGTAGTAGCGAGGAGTAGTGTAGAAGCCGAGTTCAGAGCACTCGCCCATGGGATTTGCGAAGCTATGTGGTTAAAAAGACTCCTTGAAGATTTGAAGGTTACTGTTTCTCCTCCAATTAGAGTCTACTGTGACAACAAGGCTGCCATTTCAATTGCTCATAATCCAGTCCTCCACGACAAAACCAAACATGTGGAAGTTGACAAACACTTTATCAAGGAAAAGCTTGATTGTGGTATGATTTGCATTCCTTATGTCTCTACTACTGAACAAGCTGCAGACTTCCTTACCAAAGGACTACACAAGAGACTGTTTGAAGTTTTAAGAAGCAAGCTAGCTATTGAGGACATCTACAAGCCAGCTTGAGGGGGAGTGTTGAAAAAGAGATATTCGGTTTTAATAAGACCAGATTTTAGGGGATATGATAGGCGTGTAAATATAGATAGTCAACGACTAAGATTAGGAAATTCTGTTAGTGTACAACCTGTAGTTACAGCCTGTAGTCATAGCCAGTGGTTTCCTTTTTTTAGGTTCTTGTATTTCCTATTTAACTAAAGCATTGTAAACCATTATTTATACGGCAATATACAGAATCTTTTCAATCTTTTCAATCGCCTATTCTATACAACACACACACACACATCTCTTCACCTTCTTCCTCTCTCTCTCTCTACACTTTGAGAGAGAGGTCCATTGATCATCAAAAGCTTGAAGAATGGAGCAAGAAGCACAACCAAAGGAGAAAACTCAAGCAAAGTGGGGTATAAATCTCTTGCTCTTCTTTTTTTCCATTAGTTTTGCTTACTTTTCTTACATTTGTCCATATGGTACTCTATATTTGCTTGTTTTGTTCATCTTTACATGCTTTGAGTTCTTTACTCTACTTTTGATGTGATATACACACACACGAGCGCACACATGTTTTGTAACAACGAGATGACATTATTGGCCTACCGTTGTTATAATCGGCCTTATACATGCAAAAATGGTTCTCGTGAGGTTACTAGGACCTCTTGGAGGCTAACTAAAGTGTTATCCCTTCACGGAATGTACTGGTAGCTTTCCGAATTCGGAACCACCATCGAGGGTATTTTTTACACTTTATACATGCATTAACCATCAAACCAGACATTTTCTACACTTTTCTTTACAAAACAACCATCCCGGTCATTTATGACCATTTTTGACTTGAAAATGGTCGTTTCATTTAAAAAAGATAATTTTTGTCAGTTCTCGACATTTTAAAGACCTGTTTTAGCTAAAGTGGTCAATTTGGTCGTTTACGACTTCTTCAAAAACCACTTTTAAGTAATTGGTCATTTTTTGCCTTTTTTGCATCAAAAATCATTTTCTTGCCAAAGTGGTCGTTTTTGGTCACTTTTGGTACAAATTTTTTTTTTCAAAACAAAGTCACCATTTTGGTTATAATTGGGTCATTTAAAAACCACTTCAAGTGAAGTGTGCATTTTTCAAGTCAATAAAATGACCTCTAAAATAAAATGACCATTTTTAAGTTCGAAGCCGCACTGACTAAAACCGGACACATACACTTCCAATCTAAGTAAACCAATCAATCAAATCAAGTTCCATCATCACTTTCCAAAAGCGAGCACAAGCATAAACACATACACACGCACAGATCCCAAGAGCACATAAGTTCTCAAAATTGTCCCTTATTTGGAGATACCCAGCATGAATGGATAATCGTTGTCCGTCAATGCATCTAATGACAATACAATGTCTAGCAAAGCTTTGTCAACCGGCTTACGGCCTAAGGTTTATGGTTTTTAAGTGGGACCGACGTGACCCCTCCATCTTCCCTGGAGATTACTAGTTGTATGGCATTAGAACATTGATTAACAAATTGGAAATGTCCTTTCAATGTATCTTCAAATAGCCAACCCAAATCATGCAGACTCATTTTATCCAAAACATGAATAGTTCATACTGGCTTAGGATCATCGTTACCACTGATGTATCCTTGACTGCATAATGTTTAGAATCATTCCGACCAAAATAAGCGATTAAGTCGTCTAAGGAGTTTTGGTCTTTAAGCAGGATTGTAATGATCTTGCACATCCTTCCTGGGAACTTGTCTGGTTGTGCATAACGGGATTGCGGTTGGTAATTCGGAAACATCCTCTGAATAAATGAACATTTATGTCAGGATCCAATGACCCTCATCTTCAATCATCCCTCCAATCATAGCACAACTTTGAGACACACACCATGGACTGCATTCGGTCCACTTGAATCATAAAACTAGGCGGAGACCTCAAAATACTCAACTATGAGCACCATAATGCTCATGCTCCCCTTTGCATCCTTTCACATTCCCTCTTTGTGGGTGGAGACCCTATAATATTCATTCAGGGATATACCAAGATATCCCCGTTTATCTTCATTTCAACTCTCTGTGGGTGGAGACCCTATAATACTCATTCAGGGATATACCAAAATATCTCTGTCTATCCTTTTCATAACAATCCTTTTTGGGTGGAGACCCGATATACCAAAATTTCCCTGTCTATCTTTTTCATAACCACCCTTTCTGGGTGGAGATCCTATAATACTCATTCAGGGATATACCAAAATATCCTTGTTTATTTTCATTTCAAAACACCTGGGTGGAGACCCTAGAATACTCATCTGTGGACACTATAATGTCTACTTCACTTTTCAATCTCACTCCTTGCGGGCGGAGGCCCTAAAACTCACACTCGAACCACATAAGTTTCACATCCCTTTTCATCCGTGGACACCGTGATGTCTACTTCCCTTTTCAATCTCACTTCTTGCGGGCGGAGGCCCTAAAACTCACACTTGAACCGCATAAGGTTCACATCCCTTTTTGGCACTGACGAAGGTCCTTAAACTCACTTGGAGTTGACCATGACTCACCCCCTTTCATTTCTTCACTCCTGAACTACGTTCTGACTTGATTCCCACACCTTGGGATGCGTAGGCAGCTTGGGACACTCCCTGAGCCCAATCAGGTCCCTCATCACCTTTACAATTCCCTCTACCGGGACCATCATCCGTCATTTAATCACCATCTCTCCATATATCACTTCCATCACCATCTCCACAAATAAATGAAAACTTGATTGCATGTACCTCATCATCAATCATTGCACAATTATATGAATGGAAATGGAATTTAGCACATAGTATAGGTGACCGTACTTGGTACGGGTGTCTTGGGGTGCCTAACACCTTCCCTAAGCGTAAATAAACCCCCGAATCCCACATTTGGTGAAGCGGACCATGACTCATTTAGGGCCCCATTTCAATCCAAATTCTTCATCCTTGTTGACCTAACACACCAGAACCCAATGTTAGGTGACAACTCCTCATTTATTTGAATTTGGCCTAATCAAATCAATCACCTCCAAATTACACCCCCGTCGCATTTAAATGTCCGGCATGGCAACTGACCTCCGGCTGCCGCGGGGGACAAAGCTCGAGTGGGTTTTCCTTTCCCATTGATGGAAAAATCCGGGCGCGACATTCTTCCAGTCCTTACCTAATTCACGTTCTTTTGTTTTTTCTTTACAAACTTTGCAATTGTGGCATTCTTGTTTAGGATAAGCAAGTTTTATTTCTTAAGTTAATAAAAGCTTAAAAGACTTCGAAGTTTCATTGTGTGGTTTGTGAGCTTTCTAAACACACTAGATCCAGTTTTATTCCTTGTATGCCTCGTACTCTTGCTGCCTTTGATTTAATACATTATGATGTGTGGGGTCCTTCTCTCGTTATTGCTTTGTCTGGTTATCGGTATTGTGTTACTATCACACACAGTGTGTATGGGTATATTTGCTTTAAAAGAAGTATGAGGTTCTTCATGTGTTTACTCAATTCCTCCAGTTTGTAAAAACCTAGTTCAATACGGTTGTCAAAAATATTCGGTTAAATAATGGGTGTGAATACATTTCCAATGACTTTCGCTCTTAACTCAATGAAAAGGGGATTTTACAACAACTTACTTGTCCCTAAACCCCTGAACAGAATGGTGTGGCAAAATGTAAAAACCGTCACATCATGGTTGTTGTTTGGTGCCTTTTACGAGGAATGAATGTACCAAAATATTTTTGACATATATGGCTATTCTCACTGCCTGTTATCTAATCAATCGTACATAAATGGTAAATCCCCTCTTCAAATTCTTCAGCTTGACACTACTTTATTGTAATGACCCGAACCCGGGGGTCCAAATCAATTAAAGGTTGTTATCCATCTTGAATCAATGTATGGTCATTTGGAACATATGAAACCTGTCCCAACAACCATTTATACATAGTCACATTGATGTAATAAATTCATACATTGAAGTGAATTATCTTTAATGGTTTCAAAAATATAATTGAGTTACAAAACAACTTCTTCATAACAAAATAGGGTTTATTACATTATCAAATGTCCCATAAGTCATAAGTTGGCATGGAAATTAAGTGGAGGCCTCAAAAGATAGAAATTAGGTCTCGACCTCATTTCTACCCAAAAACGAATACATTGGTTAACAAATACTAGTTTACCAAAATAATACATGTTTAGTTACAAGATGCAATTTACATCAAAATTAACATGCTTCAAAATAGACTAATCATCAAGTCGACAAAAGAAGTCCTCAATTGGTCCAAAGATGACATTGTAGGTTGTCCATTACTTCTTTTCTGTTTCCTAAAAAATGTTAAGTAGAGGAATGAGCACAACGGCCCAGTAGAGATTGCCCAAGTGGTATCTCCTCAAGTAAAGTAATCAATCACATGCTTTACACACAAAGAATAGAAATCGGATGTGGGGATCATGCCAGGCCATTTTCATCATCAAGTAACCATCATCATTAACCACATGCACTGCAATGCATGGAATGCACTATGCAACCACGTACTACACACACACCTTCACATATCCACACACACATTGAAAACGAACTAACTAGCCGGACTTTGGCTACCTCCCTCGGTCCCTTGGGAGAATTTGCTAATCGTTCTTAGCAAATGGTACCTCCCAACTACCATTTGGGGCCCGAGTTGCTAAATTATTCACAGTTACCTCCCGTATCCCTATTAACTAATTAGCATCGCCGACAAAGGGGTACCTCCCTAAGGTCGGGTTTGAGAAGACCTTTTCTCCAAAACCTATCAAATTCACATTTCCTTCTCTTCCATATTCCACACACGTCTCTACACACCCTAAATCACATGCTTATAAAAATGTCATCAATGCCATGTGAATGAAATGCGCCATATGTAAATCATTCAACTCTTAACAAGAATTTCTCAATTCTATAGACAATTCATCCTTGCAAGGGTCTTCAATTGATAGACATAACATCATTGATGATAATATAAACAAGTAGCATGCTATCATCACATCGTCACATCATTCTAGCATACATTAGTCCCAGGGTTCATCAATTAACATGTATAGCCCAACAAATAGCACATTGAATAACATATTACTCACAATTATACACAAAGCACCTATGTAATCGCATATAACTCAACAATTTAACAAATACATCAACATGTATAAAACCCTAGGTATCAATTAACTTACTAACAACAAATTAGCATGCCTGAAAGAAGGAAAAACATAAAATCACTTACAAAACTAAAGAAAATTGACAATTAGACAACTTTACCTTCAAATGATGCAAAAGCCCTAAAATTCGAAAATCTTAATGTCCACCAAATGCAACTTTACTCCACTCAAATCGAAGCCCTCGTCGAGCTTTCCAACTTTGCCTTCT